GTGTAGGTATTTTTATTTATTTCTTACATGAATAAATGTTTCTTCTATACATAAAAATACCCATGTCTTTTGATATTTGATATGACTCCAAAATCACTTATAATAAAATTAGGCAATATTCTTTTCCTTTTAATGTCAAAGCCCAGAACTGAAGTACATGTCATTTTTTCCCTTCAGAGCTTTATATTTTAAATAAACATCAAACCCAGAACAAGATAATACTATGTTACTAATATTAATTATAAACTTTATTAATATTTTCACCATAATTAGGAAATTCATTTAGTTCACCTTCTCCTAAGCATTATTTTAAGAGTAGCTGAGAAAAAATATAACTGGCTTTTTATTTTCTTTTGTATGGAAAAAGAAGGGCTATCTTAAAATCAGCTGTTGACAAGGACTACTTTCCCAGCAATCACCAGCAAACAAGGCAGCGTGCACAGACTGCTGTGATTACTTGCTGATAAGTCACTTTGATGATGAAACTCAGAATTATGAAATGAGGATGACAGTAGTTTGGAAAATACAAAGGCTCCAGCTCATCAGACCTGTTACCCTGTTTGTGTGGCTTCTAAATGTTTCATTGTCATTGCATTAATGCAGTTGTATCCTTCGTAGTGTCCAAACTAGCAAATATGGCTATCAGATTTGGTGGATTTCTGTAGGTTCTGTGACTTCTGATCCTGGTATATCAACTTCTTTAGATTAAGAAATTCCTAGCAGACTGGTAAAGCAAGATCCTGGCTGAGTCTGGGTAGGTCCTGCGCCAGGGCCCCCGGTTCTGTATCCGGCCCCTCACCCCTTCCTCTCAGGCGCTGCTCCCCTGCTCTGCTTCCCAGCTGCCCTGAACCGAGCCTTTGCTCCACCCCACCGTCTGCCATGGTGTTCCTGCCTTGGAGCCTGCTGAGCATGTACTATACTTCCTGGAACTGCAGACTAAATTGAACCTTCCCTTTTTAAATTTGTGGGTGTCAGATTCTGAATCTCAGCGATAGGAGAGCTAACTAATACAGATACATAACTCAAAATTATTATGACTCTATTACTTTGAATGTTCTACTTTTGAAATAGCTCTTTCCCCCTTGAAATATGTCTTTTCTTGGTTTCCGGTCAAAATGCTCAACAATAAGGGAAAGGTTAAATAATTTACTGTGTATTCACATATTCTTACATATGAAGAAATAATTTAAAGCTGAAGAAGATGAGAGAGCTGTCAAAATTAGATGGGAGCATCTTTTAATAGAAATTTAGCCTCCAGGGTCTTAAACAGAAGAATTTGCAGTCCAGGTTTAAGACAGGAAGCGAAACATTTCTAGCTGACAAAGTCTGGAGTGTGCTACCGGAATGTATACATAAATGTAAGGCTAAACTGAAATGTGGGTCATGGGACTGAGAAGGACAGGCGACTGTGAGGTCAGGTCACTTAATGTCCCGTCCGCGTAAGCAAGGGGAGTCTTGGTGCAATGGCAGGAGTTCTGACGAGGAGTGACACTCTTAGCCAGCTGTCAGAATGTCTACACCATGTGACTGGAGCAGGTTGGGAAGAGCAAGAAGACCAGGAAAGAATGGTCTGGACCAAAAGGCCAAAGGAAAGACAGTAACAGCGAACACAACAGATAGCGGTAAAGTTGAAAAGTTTCGGATTCAGAGATGTTTGTTTGCCCGTTTGATAAGTTGTTATTTTTAAAGACACATCCTCCTGTTTGAAAGTGTCTATTGAAGCTAGAAGAAGGCTAACTTTCTACTCCAGTTGCTGATACTGTCACTGGATCATCAGGACAGTGAAGAATTTCTGAAGAAAGGGTGGAGACTTCGACTGACCTGGGCAGGTTCTTGACGCATTGTTGCATACAAGCATTTCAGGCCGCTTCACAGGGAGGCATAGGATGATTCAGTAGGCAGGGTTAGGAAGTAAGAGACAGTGGGGAAAGGACTTCATCTTGGGAACTGCAGGGCTACAGCTCTGTCAAAGACGCAACTGGCCCCTTCACAGAGGAATGAGGTGAGCTTTTATGTGCTCGTGCAGCTGGCCTGGTGTCCAGTTAATCCCTATCTTAGTTTTGGTTTTGCAAGGAACTTCAGAGAAGTCCTTTTCATTTGAGGGGGTAATGTAGTCTCCGTGAGATCACTGCTTCTGCTCCAAATAGTCTTAGTGTTGTGGAGGCTCTCACTGCTGCAATTTCAAGATGACCGGAAGCTTAGGGGGGTAACCAAAGCCCTTTATGTGCCCATGGGTAGTTGGATGACCCTGTAAGTCTCTTCATTTGATTTCCTCAGTCTTGAAGGTGGATGAGCTAGGTTGTGTAAGTTTAGAGCTCCTCAGCCTGTATTGCCAGTTTTTAGACAGTCTCTACATGAGTGTCATGGCTATCTGCAGAGCGAGGCAAGATCTTACCTAAACTTTAAGTTAGTAAAGAATACAAGACAAGACCTGAAGGTCAAGCTTCCTGCGTTTACTCGCTGTTAGCTATGAGTTATTTGTGGACATGCTGTTAGCGTTCAATAGCATGTTTACCTGACAGTACAATTAAAGAAAAAGAAAAAACCTTTTAGGATAGAAAATAATTTTAGAACATGGGCTTTTATGTGAGTTATATTTTAACTAGTCATGTGACCAAAGGATAAATATTAATATAGCATATAATATCATTATTCAAAGTGGAGATACAAAGACTTAGATGAAGTTGTACAAAAGTTTAATGTATCTAAATACATGTTTAGTTTATAGAAACACACAGTTCAAAGTCACGTATTTTTAGTGTTCTTAAAAATATTATGAAATAGAATTGACAGTTTTGGCCATTTTCCCTGTACCACTGAGTGGTATTAAGTAAATTCACATTATTGTGCAGCCATCACCCATGTACATTTCCAGAGGTCTTCTCTCTTCTCACCTTGAAACTCTGTGCTCATTAAACAATAACCCACTACTTTCCCCACCCCTGGTAACCAGCCTTCTATTTTCTGTCTGTGAGTCTGACTATTGTGGGTAGATTATATGAATGGAATCATAGAACACCTGTGCCACATGTTTTGGGGGGTACTTTCAAAAGCATTTGGACTAGAGAATTGAGAATAAATATCCATTAGTGGTTCACTTGAGATTGGTGTGCTGCAATCAAATTGCTTTTCCTTCTTCAAACACAGGCTTCAGAATTCTTAGGCTCCAAAGCTATCTCTGTCTTTCCTATTAGTTTATTTATTTATTTATTTATTTATTTTTCTGGTACCGGGAACCAAACTCACAACCTCGCACTTGCCAGGCAGGCACTGTGCCGCTGAGCTAAATCCCCAGCTCCTCTGTTAGTTTATGACATAATAAAATTTAGCCTTTTATACATTTTAGAATTTTACTTATAGTTATGTTACATATTTTTAGAATAGCACTACTGGTAATCCCTTTCATAATGACTATCACCTATGCTCCAAATGCTTTAATTGCTTTATCTCAGTTTAGTCTTCACAACAACTCAATGAAGCATGTAATGCACTCTTTCATAATTGGAAGAATTAAAAGTAAGTTTTTCAAATCCACAACTGCCGTAAACAAAGTCAGGGTCTGAACACTTGTCTATGGCTTGAAAACTCACCCACCGTCTCCTCCTGCCTAAATAATGGTATAATAAAGATAAGAAATATATTTTGCTGAGCCAAAACTCTTAGGAACATATAATTTCTAATTTTTTTCTTTATAAAACTATCTAAAACCTATATGTGCTTTAATATGCCTGGAAGAAATGCAATTATTGAAATAAATATTTCAAATCACCTCAAATTCAAAGAGTTATGCCTTGCTTAATATGGGAGAGTTTGCAGTGAAGTGACACCATTGTGTTCATTTGTAAATAACATATTGCAGCAAACCGTTTCTTAATTACTCCAACTGTTGATAAATAATCTAGTACGGCTGCTCTCCACAGACAATTTGCTCTGGATGAGAGCAAGCAACTCAAACAACGCTAATTACAAGGAAACCCTTTTATATGAATTCCTCTTTGTTATAGAGAAGAAAAATCTCCAATAAAGAGTTGAGGCACTTGCCCCCCCCCCATTTTTGCCTGAAACGACACTTAGTATCTGGGCTGAAGTTATTTCAGTTGAATGAATTTCGATTTAATAAAAATGGATAAAGTTGTATATTTTGTTGAAGAATGATGTTCATTGCTTTTACTGTTCACTGTACTGTCATGAACTATGCTCATTTTGCATTTTAATTAAATGATACAACCGATGTGGAAGCTTTATTTAAAGCCACATTTTCATTGAAATCAACCACACTGCTAAACAATTATTTGCTCTAAGGGTGTTTTGTGTATTAATAGATAAGTGTGTCTTTAAAAGAAAGAAACAGACTTTAGGAAGTCTTCCCTATATCCAGGGATTTGCTGTAATGCAGTATCATTGTATTTATGATTTTATGGCACTAAAATGAATATTAAATGAAACAAAATTCCCCAGGATTACTCAGGAGGCAGCTAAGTACATAACATTTTGCATAGATGGTTGGAAGGCACAATTTCACTCCATCACTGCGTCCATATCCTTGAACGATTTCGACTGAAGACAGCGTTTCTTTGAATTTTTCATTAAACCAGACGTCTTGAAATATGAATTCCTTTTATGTTTCTGTGAGTTTTGGCTAAAAGAACCTCAGTGAATAAATCATACAATACTACGTGTCACCAGCACTTGTGAATATTTCTGCTTTGTTATTCTATTCTCAGTAGAGCACCATTGATTATCAAGCTCAGCGGAGAGCATTTTATGATCATATATCTCCATTAGCTCCTAGTTTGACTACCATAGATTTTCCTGGTTAAGCTTGCATTATGTATTAGGAAGCCCATCTCTTCAATGCAAAGTTTGATTTCATTTTTCTAAGCCTAGAACTCTTATTATGTATTATGTATAAAGATTCTTATCTTTTATATGTAAAAATAGGCTTCACTGTCTTTGTGTAACTGAAATGTATGCCATCTTTTTTTCTCCTTGATTCACAGGTAGCATATTATACTATGAAGATGGATCTCTACAATGCAATGGCTGTCAGGGTAAATATTTCTTCACTTGTTAAACAAATGAAAAGTCAATTGTGCCCTGAATTCGCTTTTAATAAAATGAGCAAAGCAGAATAATGCAAATTTGATTGATATGCTAATGTTAACAGAGAAAAGAGTACATGATTAAAAAGTTAGTTATGTTAAATAATCTTGGCAGCATTAAAAATTGGAGTAAAATATAAAATATGTAGTTATAAACACTTATGTTTTAGAGTGTTAAATATCTCCAAGCCATAGCTAGATAAAGACCACAAATACTAATGAAATAATGTATTAGTTTCCATTTGCCATATAAAATACTGTGATAAATAGATGAACAGGGCTCCGCAGTATGTGATTCCTGCCCAATGCAAATCCATTAGAAATTATGCATATGATTTATAGCAATAAAGTCAGTTTCCAACTTACAGGTTTTATTTTTATCATTTCTGTGTTCATTTTTGTGCGCTATTTTTCCAATAGAATGCTAAATTTAGCAATTATAGGGCTTGAACCTGATTTTAACATGGAACGAACAATATATCCTTTGTTTCAGACAATATGGTAACAGCTTAATTGTTAAATTAACATAGATGGAGAAATTTTGTAGATTAATATTTTTAAAACCTATTTTCACCTTATTATATTTTCTTTCATCAATCCACTAGTCCTTTAATCTGCAAAAGACAGATTTTATTTGGATTGAGGCAAAGTAAAGAGTTTCAGAAAAGTATGTGTTGTGCGCTGGAGGCTTAATTAATGATGTGTTGACTCCTGTATTGCTTTTGGATAAAGCCCTTTCTTCTCCAGGCATAAGTGTTCTAGAAGCCTAAACCAGAGCCTGTCTCCAAAATCTCTGTCTACCTCTCTGTTCTTCTGGAGTTTGTGGGAAAAATGAGGAAGAAGTAGATCTTCCAGGTCTCTTCTGAGCCTCAGGCAGATAGATACTCCCACTGCAGGGTGTTACTTACCTCAGTAATATTTGCAAAAGAAATCAATTTGATTTTCCTGTCTTAGTGAGAATGCTTTAGTCTGGATTTTGGTTCACTGTACTGCTCTGCCACTGACTTAAACTCTAAGTCCAAAAACCCTTTCAGTTCTTTATTCTCTGCTCACTTCATGCTACCTGTAACTCTGGAGTAAAAGGTAACAGATGCCCTAGAACCTACAGCAGTGAAGGAGCCATGTTTGTGGTATCTGCATGGGTCACCAAGGGGACATCACAGAAGGCGATCTTCCAGGTCGTTTGTGCTACTAGCTAGAAGTACAGAAGAGACGGGTAGAATTATGTGTTATTCAGATTGAATTCTGATCTGACATGAATCATTAAGGTTCCTTTTACCTGGATTAGCCGTTATCTATGACTCTCTTATCAATACAAGCCACTGGGAAGGCGGAGCTCTCTGCTTTTCCAACATCATACTAAAACCCCTGTTTTATAATAGCACCATCTGTGTCAGTTGCCCTGTGGTTCGGTTCAGTGGACAACTTTGAACTTTTACTGTAGCCTGTGATCCTGGAAAATAGCAAAGATTAAAAAAAACTCCCATTTTATTGCATTTTGGAACATTTTTGCTTGTTGCCAAATAGAACTGATCACTCTCTGGGTGTTTATTTCCCTATCTTACTGTGGACAGGCTCCTGTGGTAGAACCTGTAATACTTTATTATCCTGACTAATTTTGAGCCAGTCTCCAGCCCACACACACAGTAAGTCCGCTGAGGCCCGGATCCTACCTTCTCCATCCTTGGGTCTCCGATGCCTGATGGATGGGAGGTGGTTATGTAAATAACTCTAAATGAACCGGCAAGCTCTGACTCCTTTTTTTTCTAGGCAAAGAGTTTATAAAAGTCCTTTGCTTTAAACATTTTTTTCCTCTGTGTCCCTGAGTTGGGAATTCTTCCAGCCTTTGCTGAAGGATCCCTAAGCCTTTTGGGATGACCTGCAGAGGCTGTGAGAGGGATCAAGTGGGAGAGGTAGAAGAACTTCGGTAGTGAGCAGTTCATGTGTGCATGGAAGACCTCCTGAGGTTGTGGACTTTGCCGGAGTTTTGCAGTACACTGGGCTGAGGGAGGTTTGTCACGATCTAAGCTGCTATCAGAGCCCACAGTAGGCTTTAACAGAGCCCCTGTTTCTGATTTGCTGCTAGACCAGTAACAGTCAATTAATAGAACAATAAACTGCTTAGTAAATTTTTATCTTAGCTCCTGGGCCCCTATTCCTCCTGTTTTGTGGTGTGATACTTTATTTCCATTTTATACATCAATCTGACTTTACTCCAGACTAAGATTCTGCTATTCTGGTAGCATCTTGACCACTATTGTGAACCCCATTTTACTTGGACTCTGAATTTTTCAGTTTTCTCTTTCTAGATGGTTTTGCCTCTCATAGAAGTGCCAGCTGGCTTTTCAACTGTTTTCTCGCCTAGTTCCATCTAGATTGAGCGTTTACAAGGCTGATCAAAAAATCTGGTGTGTTTTTCAATAAAAATTGTATTAAACAACACGTTGCCACTAATCCCCCTGAAAATACTTCCCCTTGCTTCAAACACACATCCCATTTTTCTTACCACATTCTGGAGCAGTTTTAGTAGTTTCCTTTCATATCTTTACAACACACGTGAGTACTGTGCCAAGTACTATTTAATGGAAGGCCGGCTGGTAAAAGCATTGTAGTGTGTTCTCATCCACCCTGTCCACTGGGTCTGGCACCATTTGAATTCTAGCCCTTCAGCAAGTTAAAATTACCATGGAAGGTAAAGGTTTTGAATCAAGGCAGGACACTGAGGCAGAGGCAACAGTGCAACTAAGGACACCTACGAAAGAGGACTTGTGGAGCTGCTTCAGAAAGTGGCAAAACAATGGGATAAGAATGCTCAAAGATAGAGGGAGTATCTTAAGGAGAATTAATGGCAATATCTCTTACTGTAATAAATTTTTAAAAACTTGAACATTCACATTTTGAAATATTTTCAATCACACCATGTATAACTTCTTTTTTTTTTTTTTTTCCCATACCAGAAATTAAGCTCATGACCTCGGGCTTGCCAGGCAGGTGCTGTGCTGCTGAGCTAAATCCCCAGCACCCCCATGTATAACTTCTAATGTGTCATGAAACTGACCCTCCCCTTCTGATGTTAGGGTGCAAGTGGAAGTAAGCAGATAATTTAGGTGTCACTTCAGGACCACCAAATACTGGGCTGGATACTTAGGTTCCTAATAACCCTGTAACAAGTTTAGATGAGGTCATTAATTACTTCAAGTGTGGAAAGGCTTTTTAAAGTTCTCCCCAGATAGCAAAAGTAGCACAGTTTAGTGGAGTTATTTTATCCATCGGAAGGGTTATTAATGTCCCTTTTCTCTAGCACCTGGATTCACAGTTCTGAATACTTAGTGCATTGTCTTTGATATACTAACGGAGCAACCCCATCCCTGAAGTCTCTCGTATGGAATGGCGCATACCTTATACCTAGTACTTCAGCTTTTACAGGGAAAGTAACCGAACATGAGCATTACACACACTCAGCCTCACCCTTGTCTAGGAGATCCTATTTACCCAACAGCATGACTCCAGATTCTGAAACTTACTATGTGAAGGTGCATGGGGGAAGCTGGGAGATACCTGAATGGACTTAGTTAGTAAACTAACTGTTCCTGTGTCTCAGAGACCAGGCAAGGAAGAGACCACCATTCTATAGATCGTCAAGTCCTTGCAACTCAGAAACACTGGAAAATGTTAAGAACGAGTTAGCAATTGCATGGCAGTTCCCACTCTCAGAGCACCATTCTAGGTATCTTAAATATTCTCATTCTTCTCTGTAATCTTCACAAGCCCCTCTCTGAGGTAGGTATCATTTTGAATGCAATTTCAAAAATGAAGAAATAGAATCACAGAAAGGTATCTTGCCTGAAGTTGTGAAGCTAGTGACAATGTTGGGGTGGAACTTAGCCAGGGTCAAGGAGCTCACCGACATTCCCTTCAGCTCCTCCATCAGTCATCCTCTTGCCTCTACTTCTGGTTACCTCATCCTTTTTTCAAAATTTGGATGACAGCAACTATATGAAACCTGGCCTAAACATTAGAGAAATTTTATCACTTATACCCTGTCTTTCTGGAAAGGTGGCCCCATGGCCCTACAGTTCATGAGCATCCTTACAAATAGGACACTTCACCTAGACAATGATACACTTAATGGCAATTCATAGAAGACTGAGTTGAGGCATCCTTGTTCAGTGTTATGTACTTCTCCTTACGGATAAAATCAGATGCCTTGGGGTGAAAAGCCCCACCACATAGAAAGAACAGGCATGCTCTGACCTTCACATATTCCTAGTACCAGAATCATGAATTGTCATCCACTACATTCTCAGATGAAACATCTTTCTTGCTACAAATTGAAACAGATTTCTGTGGAGGCAGGAGCAAATGTTAAGAAAAGGATAATCTGTTATTTATTTCCTATTTGGACTCCAAGGTGCAGATCACACAGAACTTTGTGATCCAAAAGTCTGCATTTGGTTGTATTTGTATCTCTGCCACACCTGTTGGACCCTGGAATGCCTCTGGGGGACTTCCGTGGGCTCCCCTCGTACATCTTCAGTCCTCGTTTGCCCCGCTGTCCTGGGGTAACTGGCTGATAGCACAGGGATGCAAATTTCAAGAAGTACTAGTGGGCTGTAGCTTTAGTGAGCTTCCCTATAAAATAACGTTCTATCACACTTTTTCCTGTGTGTTTCAAAGACTTCTGAGGAATGAACCAATGGTAATAATCTAAAGCTTACAGAGTTTTAAAGAACTATAGCTGTAATTTATTATTTCAAGAATTCCTTTTACCCTAGAATCCATTATATACACAATTGATCAATCACTGCTGGAACTTAGAGAAGTTCCTGTCATTCTTTACTGGTATGCTAACGTTAAATGATTTTAATGTGCCAAAGCATTTTGCTTCAGATTACCATGCTTTCTTTAAGAATAAAAAGCACAGAAACAAGAGGAACACTGAAAAATAG